AAAGTGATGAATTAGCTTTTTTATATATAAAAATTGTGAAAATGTAGTGTGCCGATCTCTTAATTAAAGCAATTCCCACAAAATTAAGTGACAAAATCTTGTGTAACTTTGGATTAAGAAATTTTACAGTATCACATTTTTTGAATTTTTACAATTCAAGTGATATATCCTGTGATCGCTATTAAATTTAAGTTTAATATGCATATTATTATATTAATAATGATATTATTTTTTATAAAATAATTTATCTAAGCCTGCATAATATTAAAATTAATCATTTGTTTATCATATTGATAAATTTTTATATTATACTTGATTTTACAGATCATTTTTATTATATTACATAATTCTTATTATATAAATCTTTTGAATTATAACATTTATTAAAGATTATTTAATATTATTAAAGAATAAACAATAAACATATTTAATAGTTTTATCCTATTTTTTTCAAAATACTAATTATTTAAGGTTTATAAATAAACTATACTGTATAAAAGTATTTCAATCATAATTCATTATACATATTTTTAATTTTATATTTATTGTATAATAAGAATATATAGATAAATTATATTATATAGTCAGCTAAACTATATTGTATAAAAATGTTTCAGTCAATTATAATTTATTATACACTTTTTTAATTTTTTATATTTATTATACAATAAAATATAATTGGTTATTATCATTTTTATATAATACAATTTAGCTAATTATATAATACAATTTATATATATATCTTAAATATCAGTTATTTTAAATATAAAAAATGCATATTGTAAATAATAATAATATAAAGTATCAAATATATATATATATACTATAATCAGGTTAAATTTTAATTATTTTAATATCTAACTAAAAATACTATGATAATTGATTCTACTCATTAAAGTTTATAATTTTAGGAATTTTTTAAATTTTACAGATATCTATTTTATTTTAGTTAAATTTAATGATAAAATCAAAATAAGTGTATCTTAGTCTTTCAGTTAAATATTTATCTGTTAGTCTTTTATTTAGCCAAATGTTTTTTTAATTTTTCTTTATAAAGTCACGTGATATTAGTTCTATGAATTCTTAACTCTACAACATCCAATACAAGTCTTAGAATTAGTTTTAAAATTTAAGAATAGGAAATTAAATGATGTTATCATTATTTTAATTGTTGTTAGATTATATAATACAATAAATAAAATGAGAAATAATAGAACTAATAAATTTCTATTTTTTAGAATATTATCATGTATCAGAGATTTATTATTGGGAAAATTTTTCCTTATTGCATGTTGTACAGTAATAACTATTAGACTAGCTGAACTGTTACTTGCAATATCATCAAGATTCTAAAAATTTTTACTAATTATTTCTCTAAAATCCCAATAATTACTACTTCTGATGGCATTAAATAAGATGTTTATGATATGAACAATTCAATTATAAAACTTCTTGTTAATGATTGCGATGATCACAAAAGATTACTTGAGATTATATATGATTTAAAGAATATTGATGACTGCAATATCAATGATTTTATAGCAACTCTTCAAAATGAATTCAAATCTTGATATACTTTAGCCTTTGCATATAATAATGAAGAAGTAAAGCAAATTGTATATGCAATATTAATCCACATAATCTTGAGTCTGAATAAACCTTTCTAGGCATTTACTTGATACTTGATACAATTACTTCTAATGAAATAGTTTTTTTTTGAAAGGAAGAAAGGTTATTATGATTATGGATACCTTAGTATGCCATATCTTTGATTATGGGTTATTGCTGAAAAGTTTGCAGATAGAAATTCATCACATCTTAAAAATTGGAATTTTAATGATTATAAAGATCAATTATTAAAAGATAACAGCTTTTTAGTATCTGATTATATTATTTAGCAAAATTTCGAAAAATTTAATGCTGGATTTCATTGCTTAAAATCAAAGTTCTTGAATGAGGGAGAAATAATAACTATCTCAACAATTCACTGTTGAGTACGACGATGTGGGATATCAAATTTATAAATCATCATTTACAATTAGATAAGTCTAGCTATCAAGTAGATACAAGTTCAACAAATTCCAAGGATATAATTGCATGTGAATTGAAATTGTTGATATCTGAAAATGCACAAATTGTATACTTAATGCAGGAGGCACACCATATGGTGATATGTTCATTAGATTAGAAACGTAAAATCATACAAAAAAGGTTCATGAAGTCCAACAATACAAATTATTGAATGAAACTCCTTTCACCCAGGACGATTACAATAAAGAGCGAAGAAAAGAGGCATCTGTAGATGATTATTTTATATTCATAATAACAAAAGACTGTAGTAGTATCAAAATTTTAAATAATTCTGGAATTGTTGACAAGAATAACTGGAATGATTATTTCGGCTTTTTTTCTGTTAGGGCTTACATGTATGCTGAAGATGTTCTGGATCTCAATCCTGCAAGTCGCGTACAATTACAGATCATAGATCAAATCGGTGAAAGAAAAGCGAATATGATTTTAGAAGAGAGGAATAAAAGAAAATTCAAGGATTTATCTGATGCAGAAAAGAGGCTCCCAAGCATAAAGAAACAATTAACACATTTTAAAGTCAGTTCCTTGGTAATGTAAAATAACAACCCTAATTTTAAAATTCTTGAACAAAATATTTTGAAGTATACAGCTTGCTAAAAAGATAACGCAAATTTTAAAAATTACTGTATCTATTGTAATACATTACCAATAAAAAAATTAGTTGCTAGATAGTTTGAGTATAGGTAAATAAGTAATTGGTGTTAATGATTGATCAATAAAAAGATCTCGTTTTTCAGCGAAAAATGTAATGTATAAAAAACACTATATTTATTAAATACTTGGTAAAAAATAACAAATCAGATTAATATGTCGAATATCTTTGTATAAAAAATTCACTCCACTCAAATAAAACATCAGTCGAACGAATATTTAGGTTTGAAAGATTTAATAAATTCACGTAAAGACCAACTCGAAAAATATTCTAATAATTTGATTGCATTTATGAATGCGCCACTTCCAATTCTTCAAACCGACTTATATGGCCAGGTATCACAAAATAACAGTCCTTCCGATATACTTGAGAACGAAATTATACCTATGTTTAAAGTTAAAAATACACTTATAATTCTTAAAAAAAAAATTAATCAATCTTAATTTATATTAGGTTTAATAATGAATGATTAAGGTTCATACAAAAGGTATTTTGTAATACGACTCATTAAATCATGCAATTTATGGGGTTTGTGTCATTGGGGTGTGCTGTCAACATAGTTTAACAAAACTATATTATAGTTCTAAAGTAAAACTTACTATTAAAGATTTTTTGACGATCGATCATTTTAAGCTTTGCGAGCCATTTTTCAAATAAAATAACCGAAATCTTTTAAATTTTAATAACTTGTACTCTCGTTTTTTCAAAACTCACGTAAAAAAAAAAAGTTTTATTTTATTTAGGTTTAATTTATTAATTTCGGAGTATTAATGAATTTTTTTTTAAAAAAGCAATCTATTTTGTGAGAGAGACAAATATTTGGAGTATTTTCGAAAAATCTGAAATGAAATGGTAAGAAGAATCCAGAGTTATTAAAGAAGGAAATATAAAGTAAATTTATTATAAAACAGTTTAAATTATACCATAAAATAGCTTAATACGAAAAAAATCTCTAATAGTAAGTTTTACTATAGAACTATATATAGTTTTGTAAAAAAAAAAAATGGCTTTATTTTTTTTCTAATGGCTATGTCGAGTTGATCGGGAGTGTGATTTTGCTTGAGCAGTTCGGTGTATTCTTCCAAACCTGCGTTCAAAAACCAGTTTTAAATTATAGCTTTAAATTAATTTATTAGTAAATTTGTTTGCTTATGTAAGTTTGCTTAAACCCCGATTTTTTGATTTTTTGCTATTAGCGTTAGTAGAATACAAATTAATAGAGGATTGTTTTACATTTATAATTTAATTTATCTATCTTACACCTAATCTGTACCACAAAGGCTTGCACGAAAACTCTCTTCTGATCTTAAAAAGATCACCCCAGAAACAGCAAGTCGTTCCCTTGGGCTGAGGTGGGGTGCATCCACAAATGATTGTCGATGCTACCATTCGTCCATGACCGAGCCATCTTTGTCTCTTCTCGCTAGCAGTTATTATGTGGAGTATGTGTGTTTCATGATTTAGAATTCCATATCTGATTTCTTATTTCCTCATACAGTCTTGTAGATTAAGAAGAACAATAAATCGATAAAGTGTGCAACATCATTACAACTAAACGCAGATGGTGAATATAGACTGATACAGATGATGACAAAAACCCGAAATATGAATCATCTAGTCAACTTAAAGTCAAATATATAAATTATGAAAGAATGTGCTCATAAATTGATTTCTGATGAGTTTAAATATCCTCAGTAAATCATGTGACCACACAAGCACATGTTCGTGGTTTCAAGCACTGACGAAACGGGTTTGTTAAAGCAAATCATTAGTATATGGTTTATACGGTAAATTAGAGACCTGCAACTGGCAGGGTCCACCACTTGATTGTAATGTTGCCGATCATTTTTTTAATTATTGAAATATTAAAATGAAAGCAGAAAATGTGATGATTGACAGTTATTGTAATTAAATTATTACCGTTTTTGGTTATTGAATTATTCAAATTATTTTATTGTCCGGGCCGGGCATTTTAAATACGCGAATTTTAAGTCAGTCCGGGTAAAAATTTGGACTTTATGCAGGCATAAACAAATAAATTATAAATAATCACGAAATTTCTTTTGTCTACTTTTTAATTTATTTTATTTATATTATACACTTCGAATAAAACGTGAAAAACATGTCAAAGATAATTGAATTTTTTCGGTCATTGACGCTAATGAAAAAAATATTGTTAATATTAACAACAATATCATTCATTACTTTGTCTACTTTGTTTATTATATATAATGAATCTATAATGAGAGGTAATATGGATAAATAATAATAATATATTTCAAATTGGCTCAAAATATGGTGAATACTCATAATATTCATTCTCGTCGTAAGCATTTTGAGAAAGATAAAAAAAAAAAAAAAAAAAAACGATTGTAATTTATTTTAATGTTATTCTTTGATTTTTTAAATAGCTATAACTCCACTTGCAGACAAAGTGCGTGATTTAAAATTTGGATATTTGATTATCGGAGGAATAATCATCATTTCTAGTATCCCACCAATTCCAGGGTAAGTCCGACCAGTTTCATTAATGTTGACTCGAAATGAGTTTTTAACAACCATTTAATTTATAGGTATGGATCATTTGTACTTATTTGTGGATACATATATGGGTTCCCTCTTGGATTTATACCGGCATTCATTTCTGCTTTGCTTGGCGCAACTGTTAGCTTTTAGTAAGTTCATGTCTCCAAATAAACAAAAAAAAAAAAAAAAAAAGTTGAAAGAGTCTAATTCTCGTATACAATAATAGTTTATGTCGAACAATTTGTCTTGGCTATGCTAGAAAACTTTCTAAAAAACAAAGCAACTTTCAAAAATTATCATTGGCCATAGAAGAAGGTGGATTAAAGGTAAATTTTTTTTTAAAAAAAAAAAAAACTCATCAATCAAGAAAAAATACCGACTTTTTTTTTTCTCTTTATTATTAGATAATCATTTTAATAAGATTATGCCCTTTTCCATTTACTTGGTCAAATGCATTTTTTGGTACAATCCAATCTATTAGTTTTTGGAAATTCTTTATAGCCACAGCTTTAAGTTTGCCAAAATTATTAATATTTGTATTCATGGGTTCAAGATTTCGTAATTTAGCTGAAGAAATGGATTCAACTTCTCGTATAATTAATTATGTTACAATAGGGGTCGGCATCATAATATTTTGCTTTGCAGCTTGGTATATCTATAATAAAATGAATACAATCGTTGAAAATGCTGCTGCTAAAAGATTCATTCAAAAAAACGATATGACAAGTAAAGATAGCCTTGTTAGATTTGGGGATGTGGTTGATGAAGAAAGTTCATGACAGCTGTTGAGAAAGTATTAATAATTAATTTTTTAGAAACATTTAAACTTTTGATAATTTGTGTAACAATACAAATGCTGTAATAAAATCACGATATTTCTTAATTCATTATACATGAGCCTTTCTCCATATTGTAAACACACACACACACACACACACTTTATCTATTCTTCAAAGCATTCATCGTACTCATTCCACCTGATCAATTCCAGGTCAATTCCCATCCGTAAAAGCATCGATTTCATGGTGTTTTGTTTAAGTTCATCGCTCTGTTCAAGTTTTTCAAGTGATCCTTTATAATCCTCCTCATCTTCTGAATAACTTGACTTTTGTTTCTGCGAACTCTCTTCATCCCATCCCCAATTTCCCCAAGCATTTGAGTAGCCCGCCTCTTCTAAAAATGATTTTTCTTTTGGGATTTTTGAAAATAAATATTCCGCAGCTTCTTGACTCGCCCGACGCCATTTCACAATTAGTTGATCATTAACGCTACCCTCATTCTTTAATGTGTGAGATGTTTATTTAGTATAGCAAACGTGCAATTTGCAAATACATCAATCATCGCGTTTACTTACCGTCTCTTGATATTTCAAAACTAATTTTGTCTTCCTGATAGTTTCTTCAACATAAGCGATTTCCTTTTTCAATTCTCGTTCCTGATCTGTGATAGCTTTTGTTTCTGGATCATGTAATTCGTGAACTAGAGGTGACTTAAACGGTGACTTAAATTTTGCTGATTTTCTATTCAATGGAGTTTTAAAAGAACGCGCAGAAGGACTAATCGGAGACAACGGGGACGATGATTTCAACTTTGATTGCGCCTTGTTTATTATAGATGTCATTGAGCGACGTGAACTTTTGTTTCCAATAGAAAGCCGTTTTGCACTAGGTTCAGATTTTGGTGTCAATTCCATTAAATCCCTCCGTGATTCTTGAATAGATGATCCACGATCATTCAATTTTGGCCCAATCCAACATATCGTGATTTCTTGATTCCCGTTATCTGTACGCGTTGTTAATGAATTTAATATACCTTTTTGGACCAATCGATCAATCAATTCTTGTACTTTGCGTCGCCTCTTTATTATTTTTTTTTTTATTTTAAAAAAAGAAAGTAAGGATAATTTAACAAAAGGTGACAGTTGATTCTTTTATTGAAAAAAAAGTCATTTGCAACTTGCTTGAAAAGAAATGTATCATATTACCGAGCCACTTTTGTTGTTTGCACAAAACACATCAATAAGCCCATGCTTCGTCCAAACATGCCAAGCTTCAGGAGTTGTAATGTGAAGTAATACGTGAAATGCTATGACCGTTAACGAAGGCACGTCGAAACTATTCGGTTCCATTTTGGTCACTCTAACGGTTAAAACAAAAAGAAAGAAAGAAAGAAAGACGCGTACTAGCTTTTTTGTGGCTATTATCACGGTGGCTCGGTATTCAACCAATTAAACTGTCAGATGATACTGACGGGAGGCTTGAAATCCATAGCACATTAGAGAAAACCCTTCACACACCCGGCGAACATTGCAAATCTTTGCCTTTTACGGGGTCTTTTGAGATCTAAAAATAATTAGTCATACTTTCCAGAATTTGATTTGGCCAATTATAATTCAGCGTTATTAACCGTATAAAAGGAGGAGATATATAAAAAGACTTTTTGTTTGAACATTCTGGGATCATATAGTCAAGGTATTAGCCACAATTTCCTTTCATACGAAAAGTATTGAATAGTAGAAATTCTCACAAGAAGGAATCAAATAATATGGCTGTTTGTAAGTTTTTCTTGGAGGGCCGATGTAGCTTTGGCTCAACCTGTAGAAATGAGCATCCACCTGAGTCTCAACAACGTAATAATCAACGTTTTGGTGCTACAGGTTCGAGTACCCAATTACAATCCCGATTAGGTGGTTTTGGTAAGATCAAAGTTCTTTCGATATATGGTTTTTTTATGAATCTTTTTTTTAACCTTTTGATTCGACTTTTAACAGGTTCCTCTTCCGCTTCCAAGATATATGAGTAATTTTTTTTTTATTTTTAGTTTTAGCATGGCATGGTTTTGATGATAAGAACCGACCGGAGCATTAATCGAGATTTTGTTAATAATTTAGCGAAAAAACTGTAAGAGCAGATTTATCCAGAGACCGTCCTTCGTACAAGTACTCCTGTTACGGACCGGCAAAAGAAGAGCCGAATTTAATAGAGGGTACGGACTTCTCTGCCGAAGAATTACGAGTGCAATATTATAATATCATGAGCACGAATGGAAATGATACAGCTTACGTATGTATTTAGACTTAATAATTTTTTAGATCAATATTTTCTTTTCTTTTTTTTTTTCTTTTTATATTTTTATTATAGTCCATCAGAAAGAAGTAGGATCTTCAAAGGTGGCCATAGTAGGAACGAATTGTAGATAATTCAATAACTTTTTAACCAATCTAGCGTGCTGGTGTAAAAGATCTTGATGATCGAATGCACAACCAAATTGAAATCACCCTTAGAGACTTACGATCTACCCTTAGTAGATTTGATGCTAAGAGGCAACAATTAGCACAAGAAGCGGTTGGCGGATTTGGAGGATTTGGTCAACCTCAACCAACGCAGTCTCAACCCGAACCTCCACGGCAAGGGGCATACGGAGCACCCTCAGTTTTAGGTGCACCCGCATTGTCCACACCTTCACTATTCGGATCATCTATGAATCAACCTAATCAACCCAGTACGCCCTCGATTTTAGGGTCATCATATAACCAACCCGCCGCGACTCCATCTTTATTTGGATCAAACCCCTCAGGTTTTGGATCATCCACCTTTGGTGGTAATAGTTCATTGGGTTATCCAGGAGGAGTTCAGGCTCAACCAAATCCTGGGTTTGGTGGAGGGTTAGGAAGTTTTATACCACAACAACCTGACCCTCAACAACAATATTTACTTCAACAACAAATGCAACAACAGCAAATGCAACAGCAACAACAACCCGACCTTCAACAACAATATTTACTTCAACAGCAAATGCAACAACAGCAAATGCAACAGCAACAACAATCACCACAAGGAAATCCCCAAGGTACAATAAACAATCCACAAATGCAAGCATTTCCATCACAAAGTGAATTTGAATTATATAAAATACCTGAAATACCTCCACCTTCAGAATTTAGAAGATGAAATTCAATAATTATTCCAACGGGCATGGTGACGTGAATTGCATTTATGAATCGGTAAGTCAAGTCATACCGAATTGTTTATAGAAATAAAAAGGGGAAAGTGGTAAAGATGATTGGCGAACATTTATATGTATTGTAGTAATTTTTTTTTTAAATTACATATTTAAGATTTTTATTTGAATATAAAAGGAAAAAAAAAAAAAAAAAAAAACCTTGAAATAATTTACCTACTTTTTTTACACACTAGAAATTTCTTTCAATCTAATTGTATATTTTTTTTTTTACATATTATTCGTATATAAGAAATTGTAGTCACGTTTTATGTTTGTGTTCAAATGAAAAATATTATTAATTTGCTGCATATTCCCATATCCCATATTTCATGATTTTAACATAAATAGGAACTAAATTGTGTCACAGCTTTCTTTACCGTATTTTCCACTGATGCAGGTTACAATTAATCTGATTTATAATAATTACTATTTAATAATATTATGAATAACGGAGCAGTGGTATACCAGTTTGCAAGTTTTAAAAGACAATGGTTGTCGATATTATTCTTTTAGATGATATCAATGATGATTGTTGTAAGAGAAGCTTGCAACAGAAATCATGGCAAAAAAAAAAGTGTCACAAAAAAAAATTTCCAGGGTTCGAATTGTGGGCGATTCTTTTTTTTAGCAGAGTGGTATATATTCATAACTTTTGATTCATTTTGGTAAAAATAAAAGCCCAATTTTGTGTGTATTTTTATTAACTATAATTATTCAGCCCTGAAATTGTTATCTTTTATCACAAAGATTTTTAGTAAAGATTAATGATTTTGTGAAACCGAAATGATCAATCTATTTTTTTTTTTTTCCCTTAATAAATAGTCATCTTTGTTTTTTTTGAACTCTCAAATCTTAAAATTACTTTGATAAATCTTTTAATAAAATTTTCGTTAAACATGTCAGACATAAAAAAAAGTGTGAGTTTTTTTTTTTTTTAAAAAAAAAATAAAGATAATTGAGAATATATATCAACATTGAAAATTTTTTGATAAATAGCCAGAATTTGACGTTGCTGCTAAAGAATTCGAAGAACTCGTAAAGAAATATAGTCTTCCTAATGAAGAAAAGTTGGAAGGATATGCTTTATTCAAGCAAGGGAGTGTAGGAGATAACACCAAAGGTAAGTTGTTTAAGCGCTATGATTCGATTTTTTTTTTAATTTTTACTTTGATTTTTATTTTTTATCGATGAATCATTATTGATCAATGATTTAAAATCTCGAAATCCAATAAAAACATTAGCTGCACCAGGATTTTTAAGTGCAATGTCAGATAAAGCCAAGTGGAATGCTTACGATGCTAAGAAAGGTTCTTTTTTTTTTCTTTTGATTTTTTGATTTTCCCAAAAACAATTTTTTTTTTTAAGGTCTTGTTATATTAATTATACTGGAAATATATCAGGTACATCTCCCGAGGACGCACAAGCTCAATACATTGCTTATGTCGCAAAACTTAAGAAACAATATGAAGGTTCCGCATAATTTTTGATTTATGTTAATTAAATGTATTTATTCATTCGAGAATGTTATTGGGTGTTTTTTTTTTTAGTATATATTCATATATTTTCAAATACAATGTTACAATGATAACTATATAATTCATATCAAATGAATTTTACCAATAAAACTATTCATGCTAATCTTAATTAAGAGTGAGTTGATTGATAGTGAATATTGCACATTATTGACATTATTGGGAATTCGCTCTTCCAAAACTTGTGTCACGTGATCTTAACAGTAACCAATGAAAATCTGTTTTTTCTTAGGTCTTAAAAAAAAACATTCACGATTTTTTTAATCTTTGTTACTCATTTTTTTAAACAATAGAATTACACAGTCGAACTAAATGACCACAAGGGGCAAACAATTTTCTTTTTGATAAAACATATGTTTATCAGCCGCGAAACGCTTCCAACGATCCTACTTTACTTTTTTATGATTTTTAGGTCGAGATTCGTTCAAATTTAGCTTGTAACTCATTTTTTAATTGCATGTACTGTCGTTAAGTATTCCTTACTGATTCCTTATTTTTTTTTTTTAAAAAAGAAAAAAAAAAAGGGATCCTACTCATAAAAAATGAAAGTTATCACCTAGAAATGAAACATTATCTACACTTGAAAATAAATGAATTGGTTTTCAATGATGAATGACCATTAAGGCTTTGAATTATTTTAATGGTAACTGCGCAATTCCTACAATAAGATTTATTGCCCAAAACTGAATCTCGTGACTTTTTGTAAAAAAAAATTAAATAATGGTGTACGTTATATAGTTAATTATATAAGCGTTTCGACAATAATTTTTGATAATAAATAATCATTAATGATACATAAAAATAAATGCTTTCGAAGAAATGAATGTAATAAAAGATTTTGTTTTTTAAATTAAAAATAAAATTAAAAAAAAAAATAAAGACAAGGTTTTAAAATTTATACAATAATTAAATAATATATATATATCTACACTTATCGTACATAATAGAAAAAGTTAAGGTTATACATTATCCAAACGACCAGTTTCCTCATTGGTGACGTATTTTAAATCATCCGAATAATCATACCATAACGCGTTCATCTTTGATGACATCCTTCGGGGGTGATATGTGAGTTATATGATGAAATTGGCCATCATCATCATTTCTTTGGCTGAATAACCGATTATGTAATTGAATCAACCAAGGAGAAACCGGGGTAGCGGAACTAGACAAACGTTGGATATCAGTTTCAGAAAGTCCATCCCCACCCCAATTGTCCCTGAAAGATTTTTTCGACGGCTGAACCTTTCCCTTGGTCAATACTTTAATTATAAATATTGTGATATTGATGATAAAATAGGAACCGATACCAGCGATCAAACCATAAGCAACGTTATAAGTTAAAGGAATTAAAACGATGGTAAGGAAAGCCGGTATGGAATCCCCAATATATTCCCAATTAATGTACTTGACGGTTCTTAACATCATGCTGCCAATGATCATCAACGCAGGACCGGTCGCCCATGGAGGTATGGAGGCAAATATAGGAATGAAAAAGATGCTTATGCCAAAACAAATCGATGTCACCAAAGCGGTTATTCCAGTCCTACCACCTTCTGATATACCAGAACTTGATTCAACGAAAGCCGTCACGGGTGAAGTGCCAAATACCGCACCGATTGATATGGAAATGGCGTCACAAATGAAAGCGGCGGTTGAACCTTCAAAATCCCCCGTTTCATTGTCTATGAATCCACCAAATTTCGCTATGGAATATAATGTGCCCGTCGTGTCCAACATATCCACGTATAAGAAGGTCATTAACGCGATCCAAATTTCACTATCACTAAAATCAAATTTCATGGTGGCCAATGTATTTTGTATCGGGAAGAAATTCACCACCTTTTGAAAGAATTCATATCGATCATTACCTTGTGGCGTGTTGGGAAAGTAAGTGAATGCGGTATTTCTAAACCATGATATTATGCTAATTAAGATGATACCGATCAATACACTCCCTCGAATCTTATATAACATCAATAATGACATTATTATGAACCCAAGGATTCCTAACCACGTGGTCGCACTCTCCATCTGATGACCCAAACACCTTCCCGTGATACTATCAAATTCCTGTTGCGGGCATCCTCCCAAGGTGACCAAAGTAGAAGGATCATATGTGATTAAACCTATTCCCGTCGATTTTTGTAATCCGATAAACGCCAAGAACAATCCGATACCCGTTCCAGCGGCTAATTTGATGCTCGATGGAATAATTCTGGCCAAGTATTGCCTTATACCAAATATTGATAACACAACGTATAATAACCCTTCTAAAAAGACCGCTGCCAATGCTACTTGATACGATATTTTCCCACTTCCATGATATCCAACCACCGTGTAGGTAAAATACGCATTCAATCCCATCCCGGGCCCTATTGCTATCGGTAAATTTGAAAAGATTCCCATAATCGCCGTTCCTATACATGATATTAATGCCGTCGCGGTTATCAAGTCATGCTTAATCGTTTCTAAACATTTTTCGTAACTTTCATCTCCGATGCAAAACTTATTGGAATCTGATGTGCATTTACATGGTCCTCCACTATCCGCTATTATCGTGGCATTAACTGATATGATATATGCCATTGTAATGAATGTTGCTATACCCGCTCTAACTTCCGTCGTAAATTTTGTCCCTTCTCTTGACGACGATGATGGTGATCCATCCAGTTTAAAATATCTTCCTATTGGCGAAACTGCTATACAATGGTTTAATTTACTTATTCTACCCATTTGAAAATTAACTCTATTTTTTTATTTTTTATTTTTTTTTTTTCTTCTATATTTAATACGAAGATTAAAGGATGGGGAAAGAAAAAAATTAAAAAACAAAAAAACAGGAATTCCCAGACGTAATTATAGGTCATTAAACGACAAATTAATATTATATATTTAGGTATTTAATTTTGTCCGAAGTTTAATCACTATTTTAATTTATATTAATGTGTAAAGAAAAAAAAAGAAAAATTTTTACGCACACCAAATAACACATTTGTATCAAAAATAACTATTAAAATCATTATTTATTTATTTATTATTTTTTTTTTTTTATCTTTTTAATGTAATTCGGTGAAAATAAAAGTACCAATTAAAATTTCTTGATTATCATCATATTATTAGCATTATCATTCATGTAAACCGAGAAACCTTTTTTTTTTTTCCTCTTAAATTAAAAAATCGGCATACATGATAAAAAGAATGTGTTATCTTTTTTTTTTTTTTAATTGCCGGAAGGAACGTTCTGTCAAAAATTTCTGTTGATATTCAAACAAAGGGGGCCACTTGGAATAATTCGGAAATTACTCAGTCACCAAGATAAAAATGAAAATTGATAAGACCTAATTTAATTTAAAGGAGGAGAAACCGCCTATTCCTAATTGAGGCTTTATTTGTTTTATTACAAACACATGAGTTTTACAATTAACTAATTTAGCTTGTTTTATTATACTTACCGGAAGCCAAAGAACTTTTTTTTATCTGTTATAGAATTTTAAATTTTACCGGATGTTTATCCGCTTCGTCGGAACTTCTCGGATATTTCCGGAATGATGTCGCCATTCTTAACCACTACGCGAAACGATTCTCCAATAATTTTTTTTTTTTAAAAAAAAAAAGAAAAAAATTAACAGCTATCGATGAATGAATATATCGTTTTTCTAGAATTCCACGTTATGTACATTATCAAACCTATATCAAAAAATGTGAGAGCCCCCGGACTGATGCGGATAAAGATGCGATTTTAAAGTACAACCCAAGTACTTTAGAGATATGTTAAAAATTTGATTTTTATTATTGTAATACAAAATCGCTTTCAATTGAATTTAAAAAATTTTTTTTTTCTACATGTACTTGAGCAACGATGCAAGATGATGCAAATGCATCTAATTTTATCATATTACTTGTTTAGTAAATCTTTTTTTCGAACTTTGCTGATATAAATATATTTAATATCAACATCGGTGACGAAAACAGTTCTCCTTTATTATAGGTGATGTTTTTAGTAAAGTATCAAAGCACAATTTAATTTAATGGTCAATGCTGAAAAAAAGATTTACCTCATAATTTTAATAAACATCCGTTTTCGGAAAGCTAACAAGATAAAATTGCAGGTTTTTGAAACTGATTTGGCGAACCGGAAATTTGATAATTTCTTATTATAAAAAAAAAAAAATTATTTTTTTTTTCTTTTTTTTTCGAATGGTCTTTTCACCATGCATGACAGAATGCATCGCTTAAGTCCTGCGTTTTTTTGTTCATTTTTTTTTTATCATAGAAACAGAAGATTTCACTTATACGAAATCATTCTTATCTTTATTACCATATTTGTTACACATGAAGGTTATTAACATTATAAACATTATGTATCAGTAATTTATTTTATAAATAAATTGGTTAAACAAAGAGACTTTCTCTTGTGATAAATTACTTGTTAAATGACGAGATTATTTTATTAAGTTGGGAATTAAAAAAGCAATTTAAAATAACTCTAATAAAATTATTTAATATTGCAAATCTGAAAGGAAAAGGAAAAGGAAAAAAACCGCCTGGTATAATATAGAGGTAAAAATCTTCATCTAGTAATAATAAGGGATTTTATTTTTTCTTTCTTCCTTTTTTTTTTTATTATAGCATTAAATTAGTTTAATTGAATTACATAAAGGTATAATTAAATAGGTGATTATTGTAATATATAAGATTTTAAAAAGGGTAAATTATTTCTCTTTGCGAGACAAATCTCCAAGAGGTAAACTGATTGGAGACAAGTCGGGCGTTAAGAGAGTAGCGGCCAAACAATACCAAACAATTGATGATGTAATAAGACCAAGGCCACCAGCAATTCTTAAAAAGAAAATCGTTCTAGTAAAATGGAAAATCACCAAAGCACCGAAGGTCATCGTCAAGAATACGAAAGCTGACAATACACCCACGTTTGTTCTCATACAAGCCAATGTAAAGATGAAAGTAAATATCAACCATGCTATACAATAAACTCCAAGAGCATTGTTATAAGCTATTTGTCCTGGTAGATTATTGAGATCATCGGCACCGTAGGCAGCCTGGATACCAAAAGCTGGAATGTAAAGTACTCCAAAAGAAGCCCAGAACCCACCGAATGCAGAGAACCCAGTTCCTCCAAAGGTGTTTCCAACTTTGAACTCCCACATACCAGCAGCGAACTATGTATGAAAAGAAATAGAAATTAATCGATTGTTTATATTGACACGTTTTAATTTATATACGCGACAACTTACTTGAACGACACCACCTGTGAATAGAGATACACCGACCACAACGTGTGGTGTAGAGTTAAAAAGATTGTAGATGGATACAACCATGACGGACAAGGCGAAAGCTGAAAGACCGAGAGGAGTGGGATTTCCAAGTTTTGGTGCATGTCTCCTTACGGCAGAACTCTGAGGTCGAGGTTTTTCGGTCCTCATAAAGTCTTGTATGTAGATTTGTGCGTCTGGCATATTGATGATTTATTTATTTGAAGAATATGGTTGATAGATAATTCGGAATACTAATAATTTTGGCAATGGTTAAGTTAAAAAAAAAAATTTAAAGACGAAAAAATGATGTTGTCCTTTTATAATTAATGTTCTTGGTAATGAAGAATTTTTTTTTGTTAAAGTACGTAACACACATGACTAAAAAGGAAATCATTTAATGAGTTTTAAACGTGATGATTTGCGTTGCAAATCCGTTTAATATGAACCTTCTTTTATTTTTTTAATTTTACCAAAGCAATCTTTTTTTTTACAAGTTCGGGAAACCTTTTTTTAAACAAAAATGAATTGTACTTTTATGGATTTTAAAGCTCTACTCACGACGGCTCATGTTATTACCCCACATGATAGTATCAAATATTTGTATATCTCACAAAGTACAAGTAGGTCAAAACCTAGGATTTTCAACAGATTGAAAAGATTCCTTTATTCATTTTCGATTCACTACTCTCAAAAGGCATTATTATTTTTCTCAAATTTTAAATTTGAAATCTGTTAGAAAAAAAAAAACCCTAATTTTGAATATAAAACGCACATGCCGGATTTACAATTGTGGGGAACGCTAATTTAAGCCATATCGCATTTGTGTTTATATCCATATATATTATCTGTTTAATAAAACAAAAGAATAATGAAAAATATTATAGTAAATAATACATTGCATTTTCATTAATGGTCCGAGTCATGGATGAATTTTTCGCATAAGTTGAAGGGTAGGGAGGGTTATGTTCAGGCAAATTCTGAAGACACTTTAATGAATATGTTGGAAATTATTCTTTACCTTGATAATATGTTTCTTTTAATCATTCATTATTGATTGTAAATGGTATCTATCGTCTGGTCTGTGGTCCTTCGTTGTGCCACTTTAGACGAACCTTCGAAAATCTTATCTTCCTACTATCGGTTTTAAAATCTATAATACATTTAACTTTTTGATGATGCACAAGCAAAAAAGGTGATTGTTATGGTATCTAATAACCCCCCCCCCCCACATTCAAGCGATTTTGGTTGATTTTTTAGAAACATTTTATTATAGGATTTTTATCCAGAAAATAAAATTATACTCACGTGTAACTTTTTTTTTTAATTTTCACGCAGTTATAAATACGGTCAATTCTCTATAAATGATTCTCTATAATATGAATTATAGGGGTTGTTGCGTTTATAGAGAGTTGATTGCAATCACCAATTATAATTAATAAATACCTAATTTTTATTTCTTTACCAAATTTCATATATGATAAACAAAAATCACGTATTTATAGGGTATTTTTTTTTTAAAAAAATATTGTCCTGTAATAAATGGATTATAAGTTAGTTGTCAATGTTATTGTGCCGACTAACCCGACATTTAACTTATGAATGCTAAAATGTTATTTGTCACCTCTTATGCGTTTCATACTATTGGGTACAAAATAGAAATTCTCATTTTATTATATGTATGAATTTTTTTTTTTTTATCATATTACAAATAAAGGATCAGATCTGATTATAAAAATTAATCCGAAAATTTTGATTTTTTTTTTTTTTAAAACGATTCAATTTATAATTAAAAGCTTGAAAAAGTAATTAAATAGTCGAGTTCATATTTTAAACAAAAAACTAAAAAGAAAATTTGATTTAATAATGTAAAGCATTTTTTACTCATTTTGGCGCAGCATAATGAGTAAATGATATCGAGAAATAACTTCAAGAAACATTTTATACTTGTTTGATTGATTATTATTATAAACTCATTTAAACTTATTTCTTAATAATTTATTTTTTATTATTTACTTTTTTTAAAAAAAAAATAGACCTTTTCCTAAATTTTCTCTGGTTTTTCGCAGCATTTTTACTTAAAAAAAAGGTCATGATGCTAATTCTATATGACACGGCACAGTAATTCTAGAAATCTTTTAATCGACTTATTTGCTTATGCATGAAGGAAACTATTACTTAAAAATAGATCTAGAAGTTTTCTGAGCAAGCTTATATTGCTCAAAGAGTTCGTGCTTATAATATATATAATATTTTTATTATAATTTTCTAACTTTAATATAAACCAATATATATAATATATACTGTATAATAAAAGAAGGTATATATTTATATTTTTATTTTTATAATTTATTTGTAAATAGTTTTATCAGTATTAAATTAACAATATTAGTAATAATTAAAATTAGTTTATAAATAATTTCTAGTATAAATTTACATTCTTTTTAAATTATATATTATATA